CAAAAAACCTCATTGCAGAGGCATGCCGGGTAGGTAGTCAATCGCATACCCTGCCCTCATAAATGCAAAAACAAAAGAAACTAGGAATAGTTGATAACTCTCGAATCCGATGAGACTTTCTACCAGGGTATAGTGGAGGGAGCGGGTGTGGCTATGTGCCCTCTCGTTCGAAAATGTGCCCTTGAATGTCGACAGAGTTATCTTAAATACTCAAGGAAATGCCCACCCTAATGAAAACATTGTGCCCCTTTTTCTGCTGCCCTTCCGTTGTTCCAACCAAATTCAGAGATACTACAAACTAATCGCACTCAATGTACGTACACGGTACAGAATATGTCTGTTTTCATTGATGATGTAAGGGCTCCATACAAGCTCAATCAGACCCTGATTTCCACGGATGACTTCTAGAATAGATTTCACAGCCAAATTAATATTTTCATAATATTCTGAATCTTAGTTTTATATTTTGATCGAAATGAATTTAGGAAAATTGCAACACGGCCGAAGGAAACGTTTTTTACCGGTTACCATACTCAAGGCTAGTACGCTAACCATCCCCACGAACTCTATTGACATTTAATCTGTCACCAGTAACTTTCTTGGGGTTGTCAATCTACTTTCAATTCTAACCCCTACCGCTCCCCTCACAATTCGCTTACGCGTAGGGGTCTTTATCAGTGGGAGAAAACCGGAGGACCCGGAAAAAACCCACGAAGTTGGACAGGCGACCCTACTCCTTGTCACGTACAACCGGGGAATCGAAACCCCGCCAGTTGACTCAATGACAGACCGTATGATACAGCGCAGCGCGCAAAATGAAATGAAATGGGGTTTAATGTTCTGCTATCCACCCCCCCCCCCCCCCAGATTTTAGGACTTAATCATAATCCCTTAACCAAGTGTCAATGTATGGTATGTCATGGCTCAAATAGACGTCATGTCGCTTTACCAAGTGCCACAGAACTCAAATTTTCCCGATCCTTCCCCATCTTCTAAAGTGCCCTGACTTTGGTCTGCCTACCCTAATTCGGAGGCCCTAGCACGCCCTTGGTTCATTGTCGAATTAAGTCATGAATTTACACCAAGTTTTACTTTGGTCTAAATTCTTTGCCATTAAAATTGGTATCTCCGCTCATTCTTGAACTTAGGCCGGGGATCTAAATCAGCTCATTATTGTCGATCTCCAATACCCATATCTTTCCGTCATTGTCGGAATGACGGTGGGCAGTTCATTATCATATAGTTCACTGCATATCTGACAAACAGGCGATACTGTATCCATCTGTGTCTCAACATTTGAATCATTTTAAGAAATAAATTTGCCACGTGCTTCAGTAGGTTTGGTCATCTTGGCTCATTTCTCGAGGTTGGTGATCGAAATCGGACACGCCCGCCCACGAAGCTGCGTCCACAGTGGGCTGAGAGTGGTCCCTTTCGTCATGCCTGCTACGCTGCTTCCGTGGTGAGCAGTGGTCGACCAGAGCGTCTTGATGAATGGCATTGTATTAGATATGAGGCAGACTCGACTACTCTTGATCCCCAAATCTCCAATGGGATTTCCACATATTTTGACCCAGGGGAACCAGTTAATTAGCAAGATGAAAATATTTGTTGGAAATGGAATCAGCTGCCTCTAAAACGTATATTTTGACACCAAATGTGGTCATTTTGTAAAATTCGAATTTCCCGTCAAAACTGACCGCCATCTGGAATTATTTCCGAATATTGACTCCGCGGTATAACTAATCACCAAAATGTGTATGGAAATGGGTTCAGCTACCCCGAAAGGATATATTTTGATAGCAAACTCGATCATATTATGATAAATGGATGAAAGTTGTCATTTTCCAGTCAAAACTGGCGGCCATTTTGGATTTTTGCCAATTGGACCCATTTGGGCACGGATTTCGAACTGGGACTTTTTTTTGGGGGTGATAATATACGTCTAGACCGATCATAAACCGTGGTCGGCATTTCTATTGCAGCAACTGACCGGAATGGTGCGAAATTGAGTTAAAAAGGCTGGACTACTATGGCGGAATACCAGGGAAGACGGCGTTCGCCGTTTGTCGGCCTTTATCGTATATATCATGTTGCATGATAACTGGTAATCTGTTTGTCAGATGTTTGATATTATTATAATATACGTTTTCATTTCATGACCATGTTGTTGTTGTTGTTTGTTCTGCCAAAACCCTACACCATATATACCATTTTATCACCCAATATCACATTCTACGTAGATATCGCTTGTGTGATAACTTTCATAATCTCCTGAGGAGATATCGCTTTACATGAATTTGATTGGTCAATTAATACGGAACTTCTTTTTTATTAAAAAAAAAGCTACTTTTTGGATCCAGTAATATTGTTGGAGGAAAGTTCTCATTTACCATAATCAATTTACCATAATCCTAAAGGAATCTCCAGGCATTCTCAGACTTAAGTTAAGAATTTACTCAAAATTGGTTGCCTTTATTTTAACTAAAATATAGCCCTTTATAAAACTTGTGTTGTTTTAATGTATCAAATACATCAATAAGAGACTATGTGCAAAGTGTTGTGTTTCTGGATCAAAGATATTTCTCATAAACAGTGATTGAAAGTTGAGTAAATTCTTAACTTAACCCCGAGAAAGCTTTGTGAACTCAGGGTCGGGTCAATATATGTGACTTTGCAACGGGTGACTACCTGTCAAAAGATGATGTGTTACTACGCTGTAATGTAATCAGGTTCAGTAAAATTAAATCTATACCAAAGAATTAATATTTATTTATTTGTACTTGTAAGAAAGGGTTGAGTAATAAATGAAATCTCCTACACGTTTTTTTTTTTTGGTTTTTTTATGTTCCAAAAAATATCAACACTCATCAAAGCTGATGTGACAAAAATAAACGTTGTCTTTGTTTTGATGCCCTTTAGGTACGCTACTGCGTCTAGGCCTGTGGCAATACGTTTTTGTAATTTGATATAGATCGTGTTTTCTTTCTACAATTGTTCTAGTATTTTCCAGAAAGTATCCATTAAAAAACAAAACCAAAGAGGAAATGATAAGATCACGAGAATGGCGTGTTTATGCCCACAATCATAACATTGTCCCTGAACACTTGACAAAATGTAATTTCGCTTTTACACAGCCATTCAAAGAGGTAAAAGGACACACGACTAATAAAGCTTTGCATTATTGAAGTTAAAAACAAATACGGAATGAAAAGGTGTTATTTATACAGTATGTCTTAAGCCGAACGCACACAATGGAACATTTTAGCCGTACATTCATGAAAACATTGTTCCGATCAATATCGTCGCCGTCTGTGGGTTTAAAAAAACACGAACAAAAATGTTCCGAAAATATGTTTGCGAAATCGAACGTGTTAGATATTTGGTACTCAGTTCGCTGTCTGCGTTGAAGCCGAACATTCGCAGGAACAATTTTTATTCCACGCAGCACCAATCAGTGATCTCATACAAGTATGTGATATGTATGCCATTACGTGATTTATGTTACGTCATTTGGTGGTCGATATTGTCCGAGCTAAAACATTCGTCATCTGCGGTGATTTTGTGTGACGCTAGACTTATTGTTCGTCTGCGTTACCAAGTTCGTCGTATGCAGCCAAGAAAAACAAAAATATTTGTTCGGTGTTTTTGCACGTCGAGATAAATGTTCCACCGTGTGCATTCAGCTTTACTGTTATTTTTTTATTTTTATTTTAGAGATTTTTCTCTTTGTTTCTACTCTTCAAAAGTGCGTTAGATTTGAGATATTGTGTAATTGGAAATTTTATTCACTAACATCGGAAAATCGTACTCAACCAATGTGTTGGTAAATATTGTTCAGTCTACGTTGCTTTAATAGAAAGTTATCCCATAACAAAATGTTTCAATGACATTATGTAAATGAACTTTGAATTCCTAGGACTTTAATGGTATGGATTTCAATATCTGTTTATTACTTTACGTGTGTGTTAACGTAACGACTGATATTAAAATTTGCTATATTTACTTGGGAGTTAAAATATATGCTACGTAACGGATAGTATTAAAATTTACTATATTTACTTGGGGAGTTAAAAAATATGCTACGTAACGGATAGTAGAAAAAATGAGTGGTGTGTGTGTTAAGGTAACGGGTAGTATTCAAATTTAGTATATTTACTTGGGAGTTAAATTATATGATATGTAACGGGTAGTATTAAAATTTAGTATATTTACTAGGGAGTTTAAATATATGCTACGTAACGGATAGTAGAAAAAATTGAGTGGTTTGTGTGTTAACGTAACGGGTAGTATTAAAATTTAGTATATTTACTTGGGAGTTAAATTATATGCTATGTAACACGTAGTATTAAAATTTAGTATATTCACTTGGGAGTTAAAATATATGCTACGTAACAGACAATGTTAAAATTTAGTATATTAACTTGGGGGTTAAAATATATGCTATGTAACGCGTAGTATTAAAGTTTAGTATATTTACTTGGGAGTTAAAATATATGCTACGTAACGGATAGTAGAAAAATGTACTATATTTACTTGGGAGTTAAAATATATGCAACGTAACGGAGAGTAGAAAACTTTACTATATATACTTGTGGGTTTAAATATATGCTACGTAACGGATTGTAGAAAAGATTTGAGTAGTGTGTGTTAACGTAACGCGTAGTATTAAAAATTTGGTATTTTTACTTGGGAGTTAAAATATATGCTACATAACAGACAATGTTAAAATTTAGTATTAACTTGGGAGTTAAAATATATGCTACGTAGCGGACAATATTAAAATTTACTATATTTACTTAAGACTTAAAATATATGCTACGTAACGGAGAGTAGAAAACTGTACTATATTTACTTGGGAGATAAAATATATGCAACGTAACGGACAATATTAAAATTTACTATATTTACTTAAGTGTTAAAATATATGCTACGTAACGGAGAGTATAAAACTTTACTATATTTACTTGGGAGTTAGAATATATACTACGTAACAGACAATATTAAAGTTTATTGTATTTAATTGGGAGTTAAAATTCTATGCTTCGTAACTGTGTGTGTGTGTTTCCAATATGGGAATTGCGTCGATCCAGTAGCAGTATTAACGAGTTGGTAATATATGCTGTAATAAACAAATATAACAATGAAGTCAAATCAGTTTTGCTACGCGGTGCCATATCTTCTCGTCCTAAGTTTTAACACGAATTCTGGTAAGTAATATTTTGTTAGTAATAACTTTTATTAGATATATAACAGGAAATGGGAGTGACCAGTATTTGCGAGTTTGGGTTTCGATATAACACAAGGCAGTTTCGCCGCTGTCCGGACAAAATATCCCTCATAGCACACTATATGGCGTATACCCATCTTCATTAGCCCAGTCGGGACAGAACAGTGCGATCTTAATCCCATATATTTTCATTTTAAAGCAACCATTCCAATATCGAAGGCGCATAAACCAAGGCAAAATAGTAAAATGTGGTTCCTTTTTGTTTCAAATAAAGAATAAGTATAAGTGACAAATCTGCTTAAAATCCACTACAAAGCCCCATTACAATCAAACTGATTAATATACAGATCTATATTTCGTTTCGTTTTTTATACTTTCGATGGCCTACACTACATGAAGATCTGACAAGTTATAGCGATAGGTCACGTCAGGGGTCAAAAGACCGACTTATGACCCTTTTGGCGTCAGACATTTGATTAACCAATCAGCATTGATGTTACTAGTGGATTACCCACAGTTCCGTGAAAAACACGCTTAAAGTTCGCCGTAACAGACCATTTCATTGGCTTATCCCTGACACCATTCAGAACACGAGTTAAATAACAACTCCTCCAGATCCAAGTGTAGTAAAGACAAGTAAAACGAAATTTTGAACTATAAAAACGAAACGAAATAGGATTTTAACCAGATGAAAATGATGGACGACAGTGCACCGTACGCTGATGCGTCATCTTGGACACTGGACATATATGAGGAATTGCATGAAATTGGAATTGGTCGGGATATAAAGGACATAGGAAGTTTAATCAAAATCGTATTCACAATTTGTCCTCTGATTCTTCAATCGTACTTCATCCCATTGTCATCTGTACGATTGGAATGAGCATTTTGAGTGCAGGTAAATATACATATAATTAGAGTAACGCTATCGTGGCACCAGTTTGTGTTGGATTCACTTTTTTTGCGTAATTTTATAAATTTGGTTGATATCAAGACAGTCAATTAGTGTAAAGTTCCGGGATAAACACATGGAATGAAATGGGATTTAACGTCCTACTTTTCTGCACCGATTGGACTTGGCCAGAGCCGTATGACTGGGCTAATGAAAATGGGCGTACGCCACGCAGTGTACTACGAGGAAAATATGAAAGAAATTTTGCCAGGGGAGCGTTGCTACGGCCTTTTTTTATTTCCAATTCCAACTGTCAGTGGTTCTTTTACGGGCACGATATGTGTACAAGCGCCTGTGGAGTCAATATCTAACTAAAGGTCAGCTTTGTTAAAATTTGTGGATTTTCAACACACACACTTCCTCCTGTATATTTTCTCCGCCATATATAGTTTTGGGTCATTCCATGTCAATTGGGTAAATTTTGAGAAAGTTGGGAAATTTTGGAGCCGATTGAATGCGATAGATGAGCACCTAAAATTCAGAAACTTGGTGAAATTATAGTTTGTACTAATGTATCCAACATATGTTAAAAGCATTCTTGTCCCTTGCCATCTCGATATCTTTTCGATTTTTTTTTTCTAAATCTCAGTCAATTTTCAAACCACAAATTGTTTCGTTTCTAGTTTTTACATGTACAATAACATATATTTTTTCCAGATTTTTCGAGGAGTCAATTTCCCACGCCTGGCCCCCTTGACATGGAATGACCATTTTCTATATATTTTCTCCGCCATATATATTTTCTCCGGAGGATAGGTATAAATTTAGGATCGTAACTGTTGAAACGCATATTTAATTTTTTTTTAAAGAAATCTTTTCATTTAGTTTGTTGTAAAACTGAGGCTTATCAGTATACTTTCCACGTGGACAAATTAAATTGGAACGAGGCTCATCGGAATTGTCACCGAATGAATAGAAATCTACTCCATCTCAAAACAGTCAAGCAACAACGAACAATGGTAGAAATAACAGACTTATGGGTACAAAATAACCACATGTAAGTAGAAATGGTTCCTACCTTGCTTTTGTTGTTATTGCGAAATGTCTACTGGTTAGCAGTTTCAGTGAAATGCTTCTTCATTTCTCCCTCTGTCATTGAGTCAACTGGCGTGGTTTCGATTCCCCGGTTGTACGCGACAAGGGGTTGAGTCGCCTGTCTAACCTCGTGGATTTTCTCCGGGTTCTCCGGTTTCCCCCCACTGCTAAAGACCCCTACGCGCAAGCGAATTATTGAAATATAAATTTTAAAAAAACGTATGTTAGTCCCGAAATGACCTAGTTTGTGTTGAGTGGACGTTAAAGTCCATTTCTCTCTCTCTCTTGCGCTATATCGTAGCTAGAGGGAGACTTGGATGTAATGTCAGACCCAGGCTGCATTTCCGGCAGTCTGGGGATCACGCCATCAGCGCTCGGGAGGAAGCTTGTCCCCTCAAGCAAGGGCATTGCCCTAGCTTTGCCCCTCCTTCCACTGACGGCTGGAGCTGCCACTGTGTGGGTGGGGAGTTCTACCACACGTGACACTTCTTTTGGCAATAGAAAAAGTTGTTTTTATGTCGAGAGAATAGCTTGTGGTCAGTATGTTTGTCTGGTGCGTGTGCTGTGTCGTGTTACCAAACCAGAAGCGTGAGGGGATCTCAGGATGGTAGAAAGATCAAACTTAGGGCAATAGGACAATTTGAGAGTAGGGGACAACGCCGTAAAATGTTCATGCTAGGATCGATTTTACGTATATCTCAGCCATGATATATCATACATTGGTTGATGACTTATGATCCAGTCCTGAAGATCTGAACATGAACATAGTTAGCAACAATCAAGAACTAAGCTACCCCCGAGTAAAGAAACACAGGCATGAAATGGGACTGGTATTCCTTACGAAGGTTACCCGTCAAGGTCCAATCAATTATGTTCGCTAATTGCGGAGGAGAAGAACTTAGGAGTAAATTCACACAACCCAAATAACCAGAAAAAATGATTTAGAGGCCGGCTAAATACAGAATTGTTATTATTAATGGTTGCAAATCGCAAACATTTTATAATCGAAACTGAAATCAGAGAAATTTGGATATTAGGTGCACAATCAGTAGATCATCATCAGCGTTAACCAGTTTTCTGTCTCAATGTGGCTGAGAGCCAACAAGCAAGAATTGATCAATGGTGCATGTACGTGCATTGAGCACAATTGGGTCTCAGTATCCCTGGATCTGTTTGGACCAGGGGAGGGTTAACAGGAAAAGAAAGCACATTGTTTTCATAAAAGCAATGGGAATATGACCATATGCTTGAGGTAACTCGAGGGCACTTTTTCCTGTCTACCCGCCCAGCACGCCTCTGTATGAAACCATTCCTACGTACTTTTTTTTTAAATCCTTTTTTTTTAAAAAAAAAGAAACATAATCAACCAATTACTTTTTTAAAGTTAAAGATACATTATGCAAGAGCTAAATCTGGCTATTGCAGCTCTTTCTTTAGACCCGAAATGTTACATAAATTATTAATTAGACATTTATTAACAAAACAAGACCATAATTAACTCTCTGATTCCGATTAAAGTAGATTAGAACGGTTCAGTAATTTAATGAGTGATTTAATTAAAATATGGAGAAGCGTGGCTAAGTCTCGAACATACCAGTACCATGGTGACGATAATAAACAATCAATGCACACTACTTGTCAAAACTACAAGCAGGGCGGATAACTTGGCTCAAAATAAAATATCTATTTTTGAACTATTATAGCAAGTACGACGGTTTGTTCTCACTTTCCCAGCAGATTAACCCTTTACTAATTAAGCGGATTAGGGATTAGTTATAGATTAGTGAGTTATACTCTGTTTTAATTATTGCATGACCAGTTCAATTTAACCTATGACATGTATGAACTATAAATCACAATATGGAAATGGAGGCGTTTCACGTCCAAAGAAAAGAAAATACACGTACATAGAATTAAACAGAAGAATACATGATGAAAAACAAAGATTATTAACTGGTTTGACGACTTTATATGAATACGGAAATTCGATATCACACTTAGTCGAATTTTAAATATACACGTACAATACTAAATTTGTTAATAAAATAACTTGTATGTAAAGTAGTTAATATTGATACGAAAAATATATATGTACATGCTAAATTTGTTAATAAAATAACTTTTATGTAAAGTGGTTAATATTGATATGAAAAAGACTATAGTTTTAACACCATTGTTACCCTATTTAGTACTGGTCCAATGATTCTACCTGGACAACAATAGCTGCTGGGAAAGTGAGAACACCTCGTTAGCCCCAGTACGACCAACTCTTTATCTAAATCTTACATAATGTATCTTTAATGAATTTTTTTTTTTTATATAAAATTAATCATTCGTGTGTGACTTTTTAGAGATTAGTTTATCTATTTCCAGTAATGATAAATATTGGATAGGGGGCTTTAATTATGTGAATACGTCAAATCCAGGCCTGGATGGTTGGTATTGGGATGATTGTACCCCTATTGGAGAACCCAGTCACTGGGCCTCATCGGCCCACGATGATTCAAAGAAGAAATGTGTATTTAGGAGTAAACATGGCGAGACCTGGTTTACAGACAGGTGCGACAACCAATTCCAATATATCTGTCAAATCAATATAGGTAGGATTATGGTAATTACTTTTTATACTCCCACATTTTAAATGGTGGGTATATTGTCATAATCCCTGTCCGTCGGGATATAATTTCATGCAATTATCATTGATTTTTAATGCACAGTCCAATATAATCGATTAAGTCAACCAAGTGGCAATTTTTTAAATGGGGGGTATATTGTCATAATCCCTGTCCGTCGGGATATAATTTCATGCAGTTAGCATTGATTTATAATACAGTCCAATATCATCGATTAAGTCAACCAAGTGGCGTTTTCCCCTTGACCAGGAATCGGGCTGCACTAGTGTTGCACTGTTGCATTATTCATGCGCTTAAACGGCCTACAACCGTGTTAGTAAGAACTACGCTTAATTGTACATTATGTAAGAGATAAATCTGTCTATTGCAGGTCTTTCTTTAGGCCTGGAATGTTATCTAAATTATTAATTAGACATTAATTAACCTATCCAGACCATAATCAACTCTAGATGGCATCGTTAGACTGCGATCGTTAGTGGATTATGAGCCGATTTACTGCATAACTTTCCTTATAACGATCAAGTGGATAATCGAGACTATGCAGTTTATCGTACTGACTTTAGTAATGACGAACGAGGCTAGGCGGAAATTTCAATCGCTTAGTTCTCGGTTCATAGTGGATCAATTTGAATGAAATTTTCAGCAAATTGCCTTTACATTATCTAGTTTTTAACTATTATAGTCAGAACTGCCAACTCGTTATCGAATCTCCCATAATGTATGTTTAATTGTACTTGAATGAATTCCAAAAATAAGTAAGAACAGTCATTTGTTTGAGTTTTTGACCCTGGCACTGGAACATCCTACAAGTGAATATGATAACATCTCAGTGACTTAGAATGGCGATCTCGCCGCCATTTTAAATGCTGATGGTGGTCCTATACGCGTTTACCGTCAACTAAAACAATACCCGTTTAAATTAACTCACAGTGTGTAAATATTAACTTCAGAATCTCAACTCACATTCAATCTGTCACAATCTTTTCATAAGCGTTTACCGTCAACTAAAAACAATACCAGTTTAATAAATCAACTCACAGTAAGTAAATATTAACTTCAGAAACTCTACTCACATTTAATCTGTCACAGCCTTTTCATTTTGTATATCGAGTTGTAATTACATTCAAACCACAAAGGGGATTAGATATCATCTTTATCAGGTGCCATTAATTAAACAGAGAGCTTATGAAGGTTCTTACTTAAACACACAGCTACCCATGGAGATAGATGAGTCAATGTGTCCTTTTTAATCCAGGTTACTAGATTGTTTTATAAAGTGTCACTATGGTATATCTGAACATGTATCTATGGTGATGAATGGGGTTGGATGGCCAAATGGTTAGCACGCGCGCGCTGCATCATACGGTCTGTCATTGAGTCAACTAACGGGGTTTCGATTCCCCGGCTGTGCGTGACAAGGAGTAGGGTCGCCTGTCCAACCTCGTGGGTTTTCTCCGGGTCCTCCGGTTTCCTCCCACTGCTAAAGATCCCTACGCGCAAACGAATTATTGAAATAAAATTGAACCCTGTGTTAGTCCCGAAATGACCTAGTTTGTGTCGAGTGGACGTTAAACCCTATCTCTCTCTCTCTCTCTCTCTCTCTCTCTCTCTCTCTCTCTCCCTCTCTGTCTCTCTGATTAAGCATCTCTATTATATTTTAATACAATGGTATACATATTCTTTGTTTATTGAAATGTTTTATTCTGGTGCCCAATTGCTTCTCAGTTTTGCGTGCAAAAACAGGATTTGGTCCACAATTCGTTCACATTTCTGTTTGTTTGTAAGACGAGGTCTTAGTGGAAAGGTCTTCATGAATATTGATGAAAACGAAAGTACGATATGTCTGCACGTTCAGTAATGAATTATTAAATATTACTGAAACAATTATACTCTTGAGGTTGGAAAAATCTGATTCGTACTTGGTTGACAGACATTATGTGTAGTGGAAATGAAATGGGGTTTAACGTACTACTGTTCTGCTCCGAAATGGGCTAATGAAGAAGGTCATACGCCAAACAGTGTGCTATGAGGGAAATTTGCCCGGACAGAGGCACTACGACCAACTCTTATATCGAATTCCAACTGTCATGGGATCTTTTACGTGCACGCCAATGTGTACACGGGACCTCGGTATTTCGTCCCATCCGAACGACTAGACAGCTGTTTGTCAGGCCCTCCGTCCTGCATCACTGACAAGGGGGAACCACGCCGGAAAATCTGGATGAACTTTTTCGGCCAATGCAGGGATCGAACACCCGATCTCCAGGCTAGCGTCTTACCCACTTAGCCACGTGATCCCCATGTGAAGTGGAACTGTCGAACATGATATGCACATAATTCACACAATCCTTGTGTTCTTGGTTTATTTTTCTAGTTATTTTGAAATTTAGATTTACGATAATTAAAATCACCTGTTTTATTTCTTGGATGCTGTGGATGGGTATAGACCCCACACTGATTAAAATAACATGTACATGTATTTATGGATGTCTTTTATTTTCAAGGTGAATGTTGGTTCGAAGACAGGAAAAGCCGGAAATTGATTGATGACACCGGTTCGGGACAAGTCGTTATCAACAAATCACCCCGATCACTCGCTGACTGTAAAGAATATTGTCAGGATTATGATGACCCGGACGAAGACTGTACTTCTTTCACCAATAAGGACAATGAATGTTTAATTATTTTAGGACCTTACACAAGTAATACTTTTCAACCCATCATGCACAGCGTGCCAAATTATACAACTTTTATCAAAAGATGTTATACTGGTAAGTGTCAATTTATAATACCGAGATGAATAAATTATTAACACAAGGTACAATATTTTTTATGGCGACACGATTATTGAATTTATTTCAATGCAACGACGTTGGTTCGTTTCTGGAGTTTTACGTCCACATCCACCAAGGGTGATATCGTAGACAAAGTGTTACCTAAGAAACTTGCCAGAAGACGCCACAAAAATAGGCTTGATCCAGATTTTTGGGCGAAATTCATCCAAAGGAGAAGCTCCAGTTGTTACAAAGGAAAGAAATGTCGAGCGTGCACAGCCTAGGCCGCTTTGCAATAAATGGCTACGATCTTAGATAAGGTATGTAAATTTAGGTTTGACTGTCGACCGGGCCCTAGGGCAACGACAATACTCTGGTCTTTATATAAAGCAAATGATGATAACAAGGGTGTCCTCATCGAAGCGTTGCATAGTAATCAATCCAGTAATTGTGTTTCTGTATCTTGTGTTAATATTGCAACAAAGTTAGTTCATTCGTAATACAGTAGCGTAGGATTTGAGCTGAAACACAGGTAACAGTTTCATATCGGGAATAAGAGTTTTATTATATGGAACTTAAATTATACACATTTAACAATATGTATTGTCATGCAGCTGCTTAGATACCAAACAAGGGTTTATTCCTCTCTAGATGTTCCCCCTGGCTCTGTTTCCTTGCTGTTTCGTCATTCTCTAATGTGTTATATTAAGGGTCTTTATACAAAATACATAAGCTCTCTTTTAGTGCCAGTTACTAGATATATATTTGGTATGCTATATCATAACTTATATTTTGTTACATGTTCAATTACTAAATGTCCACTAAAGAGTGCATTTAAACAATGATACCTCATGTCCGCATAATGTTTATTAAATTTTCAGAATTCTTCTCTGCTGTTACTAAAATCTTAAAATCTACTCGACCACGGACCACCCCAGTCTGTTTTTTTCTATGTCTATATGCTATGTTTTATTGACAGCTAATGTCGGTGGAGAAGCGGCGACTGATGATATAAGAGGGTTTGTGGAGCAATATTACCCAGAGCCGCTGTGTCGACCTAAAGCGACAACAGCGAACACTCCTGCAGCAACACCACCACCAACTACGGCTTCTCCTGAAACAACAGCTGTATCCTTAGGTGTCGCAGATACTACAAATAATGCTGAATCAACTATTGAAGATACCACAACAACTGTTGAATCAACTACTATATATACTCCGACAACTATTGATTCGACTACTGAGCATACCGCTACGTCCGATGAATCGACTTCTGTAGAGGCTACAACAACCGCGGAATTGACCACTGTAGAAGCCGTTGATTCGACTACTGAAGATACCACAACAAATAATACTGCAGATACCAAAACAACCATGGAATCGACAAGTTATGGTACTACAACACATGCCGAATCACAAGAAAATACAGATTCTCCACCGACAAGCAAGATTTTAATCTTACCAGTTAACAACGATACTATCAGTAGCAATTTAACATCAGAACCGAGCTCCAACCAACCTGCAGGAATAACAGGTAAAATTCGTTGTTTTATTTTACTACTTTTCAAAGACAATTTTCGTCCAATATTGTCCAGACCCCCCCCCCCCCCATTTCTTGATGTCTGATAGGTGTGTTTAAAAAATAAAGATTCATAAAATGAAATGAAATGAAATGAGGTTTAACGTCCTACTGTTCTGCTCCGATGCTGGGCTAATGAAGACGGGCATACGCCATACAGTGTGCTATGAGGGAAATTTTTCCCGGGCAGCGGTACTATCGCCTACTCTTATATCGAATTTCAACTGCCAAGGGATCTTTTACGTTCATTCCAATGTATACACGGGACCTCGGTTTTTCGTCTCATCCGAAGGACTAGACAGCTGTCCTTGTCAGGCCCTCCGTCCTGCATCACTGACAAGGGGGAACCACGCCGGAAAAATTCTTACTCAGATAATTGCAAATAACCTCCAGGACAATCATCAACATAGTCTGTTATAAAAAATGATGATGACGAAATGGGGTTTAACGTCCTATTTTATTGCACCAACTCGGTTATTGAAGACAAACATACGCCATGCAGTGTGCTATGAGGGACATTTTGACCAGACAGTAGTTTTCCCGTCTGCTC